TCTCTCTCTCTCTCTCTCTCTCTCTCTCTCTCTCTCTCTCTCTCTCTCTGACTGTGGAGCCCTTGGGAGGAAACTTTGCTGGTTAAGCAACCTTTCTCAGGAGGGTACCCAGCTCTGAACTGGGTCTGTATCATGAATTGCTGGAATTTGTGATTCAGGACCTATACCAGCTACTTCTGCATGGGGTCTCTGATGTGGACCGGATAGGATTGAGAAACAAGCCTGTAGGCATTTTTGTAAGAGATTTTCTAGATATGGTTTATTGGAAAGAGAGGACTCACCCTAAATGTGGGTGGCATCATCTACGGGCTACAGTTTGAACTGGATAAAAAAAGAAAGCAAGCTGGGCGCCAGGGTCCCACTCCGCCTTCCTGACTGCCAGGGCCATGTCACCAGCTGCCTCAAGCGCCCACTGCTCCGCTTTCCTCTGTGGTGGGCTGCACCCTCCAACTGTGAGCTAGAAAAAGCTCTCCCTTGTTTATGTTGTTTTTGTCGGGCATTTTGTTACCACAAGGGGAGAAGGAACCAATATAAGATCTATGCGGAAGTCAACATATACATCAGGAATCAGATAGATTTCCGCATCTGCCCTGTCCTTGGCTTGAGTCCTTGTTGGCTTATGTTTCCTGTAAGGCCTTCCCACCACATTGTCTCACCATGTAGGAGGGGACATATGGCCCTCTTGTGGTCTTCTCAGGCCCTCTCCCACTCCCTCCTCAAATGTCGGTGAACTGTTAAGACAGCTGTTCTAACTTGAGGTCCGTTCTGTGTGGCATGAGAAATCGAGTCCTCGTGCATGCTGAGATAGGGACCTCAAAGTTAAGGATACAACCCCCAGATACCAAGGAGCCATGATGGCCTATTCCAGCGCGCCTCAGTCTGAGCCAATGCCAGCACCTAGATTCATTCAGGCCCATAGCCTCAGACTGTTGAACTATATTCCAGTGGTCATGTGGGCGGTCCTGCCCCTCTTTCACCCATACACGAGGCTATAGAATCCTATACCCACCATACCACATTCAATTCCATTCTCAAAGTATGTACCGGTGCCAGCATGCTGCTGAGAGGGCTGTCATAGAACGCTGTAGGCAGAACCAAAATCTACAAACATTGGTGAGTGATTGCCGGATATGGAGTCATTGGTGACACAGCCATGTGTCAGTTTCTCTAGTCACTTGGTGTCTGCTTGTCTTCATACAGAGAACAAGTCTCACATGATAATAAAGTCTTGTTTCTTCAAGAAAGGCATGACCCCAGGAGGGCCAGCCAGGCCTGTCGATGTGGGCAAGCTCCCCTCCTCCCCCATGGTGTTTGGAGCTGAGGCCAAGCACCAGCAGGGGCCTCTGATGGGCTCTGAAGCTTCCAGAGTCCCGCCCACATCCATGGAATTAGAATCTCCAGGGGTAGAGCTGATGAAAGTGAAAATTTTTAAAGTCCCCAAATGATTTTGATGCTGAACTCAATCTGGCACCTCGGGATAGTGGACCTAAGATTTGATATATAGATTTGGATAGCAGAGAGACCTGATTTTGTATTTAAACCTGAGTAAGTAACTCACACTCTGCCTCCATTTCCTAGTCTCTAAAATGGGTCTAATACCATATTCCATTGAGAGTGGGCCCCTGGTCAACAGTGTCAGCTTCATTGTCTGTCTTCTATCCCTAGAGGTCCTTCCCGTCCCAGTACATCACAGTTCATATAGAAGTCTTCAGAGACACCAGCAAAGTGACTTTCCTGGGTGGGGTTGGGGGAGTTGACCTTGACCACTCAGATGATGGGGAACATGTAGGCAGGGAAGATACCGATAACTAGGGGAGAATTATAGCTGTTTCCTAGCAATGACT